ATGAATAGTTGACACATTTGGACATCAATGAGACGGACATCAATTGGTCTAAAGTGAAACTCAATGGCTTTCGATGGCTAGCCGTCCGACACAACTCGGCCGCCGGTGTCGGCGACGGCACCAGCGAGTCATCGGTTCCGTCGACGCCGACCACATCAGTGGCCAATAGCCTGCCGTCTGAGGCCTATTACCCGCATCTGTTTAACGCCGCCTATCGTAACCATTCGTGCGATGATTTGCGTCAATACAATCACTCGAATAACGGTTCCAACGATGAGCGCCACACTAACGGCGCCGCCGGCGGTGGTGTTGCCGGTAGTGGTCGTCGAGAAACGATGGAGACATTGATCACTTGTGTCAATCCGTTCACTCATCAGTTGTATAACTGTCAGACCAGTTGCGACACAAAGTGCGCTCAGATCAGCGCTGACAACGACATGATCGCCATCTCCAACGACCGGTTCGTTGCCGTCTACTCAGTGCAGACCAATCAGTGTCTCAATACACTGGCTTTCAGTTCCGGGTGTCGGCACTGGCAATGGATTAGTCCACATCTCATCGCTATAGTCACCGATCGGGAAGTGTTTCACTGGAATATTGACTCTCCTTTTAAACCGGAGATGAAGTTTAAGTTAGAGAAACGACTGCAAGACTATCAGATCACTGGCTATAAGTGTGATACGACATGCGATCTATGGTTTGCCATCACATCCCTCTATGTCGATGACGAAGGTATTAAGCATTTTTCAATTTAAACTTTTGCTCATTTATTCAATTCATACGTGAATTAAAATTTATTATAATTGTGTACTTATAGGGGAAGTGAATGGTTGCGTACAAATCCATTCAAAACGGGACCAATTGTCGCAATGTATTGATAGCCATGCCTTACAATTATGTCAATACAAATTTGCGGCAAATGAGAAGCCGACAGAAGTGCTGTTGTCGGCCAAACGGCATCAAATGAATGCGATTAAGATCTATATCATAGAATTGGGACCTATTATTGAGTGCAATAATTCGCTGATATCGCGCACAGAAGTGATCCCACAGTTGGACACCGAACAGACCGCTCTGACCCCCGATTTCCCGGTCTCTATCGAGTGCAACGCCGAGTTAGGGCTGATATATGTATTTTCAAAATACGGCGCCCTTTATGTGTGCGATATAGAGACGGGTGCTCTCATGACGACGGCCTTCATCTCAGAGGCCGCTGTGTTCGCCACCGCCTATGACTCGGAATCGCAAACTCTGTTGGCTGTGAACCGTTGCGGACAACTGCTGGCCATTGAATTGTATTTAACATCGTTTGTAAGGCATCTAAACTCGATCTCCAAACAGGAAATCGCACAACGAATCCAAGCATCGATTGGCGACGACAACCAAAGTATTGGCAAATGCAGTGACGAAGACGACGACGATTGTGATGAAATCACTAGACTTTGATCCGACAATTCGTGTTATTTTATTTAATTTATACCAATATTTTACAATTTATTTATGAAACAAATACTGTTTATAAATTTATATATATTTTTTAATCATTTATTTAAGTGCTATTCACTCACATTGTATTACAAAAATTAAGTAATTATTAATTCATAACATTTGTTGAATTATTGTTTGTTTGAAAGGTTTGTGTGATTTGTTGCCTAAGATTTTAAAATTCTTTGTTTCGTTATTTTTCATTCATATTGTCATTCAATTCAATACTAGTCTTTAAAACTAAACAAATTTCCTGTAATTAAGCGAATTTTATGAATAAAATACTCATTCATTGCATATTTTAAATGAATTATTTTTTTACTTAATTTATACTTTAACTATAGATTGCGTTTACGTACTGTATATTTACAGTATATTGTATAGCACTAGACAGGTTTAGTATACAGAATATTCTGACTTTAACTAAATACTAATTACTGAGAGGAAAATCAATGTATAAAAGATTAGCTTTAAATGAAAAATAATAGATTTTATGAATAAATTATAGGAATTTATGTGAATTTATATGAAACTAATATGAATATTAAATATATTAAATGTGTATTAAAATGATGTCTTTGTTTTGAGCAGACAATTGAATATGATTTACATTCTTAAACTGTTTGTATAAATTGTCACGCATTTAGGACTTTCAAAATTACATACAAAAGCTGATTATTCTGTATTATTCTTATACCTGTGATACAAATGATCAGTTTCTATTGTAAGTCTATACAGTATACCCAATACTATCCAATGGTACAGTTTTGTGCACTTCTTGTAAAAGGAAAATTGAACTCAAATTCTCAGAGTATGTATTGACTTAATTATTAAAAATTTTAAAATACATTTAAAGAATGTCATTTACCCTAAAGAATGTCATTTCTATCCGTATCTTCTCTTTTACATATATTCTGTTGTTATACTTAATTTTTATTGAAATATTAGCAAATTTTGAAATATGTTTATTAATAAGCAAATGTGACATTTATTCCCTTAATTTATATCTCATATTTTCATTCAATAATATACAGTATTGTATGACATAATCCTTATATCATTTCACGATTTATACAGTAGTAATATTTTAAATTTATTTAATACCATTGCGGTATTTAAGCGTATTAAAATTTGTCACGATATAAAATCACTAACAATATTACCACTAAAACATTGTAAAAATATATTTTGTATTTAATAAAATGAATAACTCAATTATAACCACAAAATAACAAAATTAGATTACTGTAGAGATAGTTTAAAAAGCAAGTATAAAGTAAAGTGATTAAAATAAAATATTTATTTCATATTTAAAATAATTGACAACGAATTCATTCATTGAAAGAATCGACTATTTTTAAACATCTTAACCGTAAGTTCAATGTTAAGTGCACTCAATATTTCTGGTAAATAAATACTACAATATATTCCTAATGATTGAGTTGTGATTTAAACAAACATTCTTGAAATTGTTGTCCGATGTATAAAATTACCATTTTTTGTAAATATTTTGTAAAATAATTATTTTGTCCCTTTTATGCAGAATTTGTTTAAAATGTTTTGTGTAAGGATTTCATCAAAATATTTTTGCTAATTGAATGAATGTTATAAATACCACAACACAATCCCAAAACTACCAAATTTCGAGATATCATTTAATCTCTCTCTCTCTCTCTCAGACACACACACAATGTGGAGACAAAGAATTTGTTCCCAGAATTATAGAATTTTTTAATAAATAAAATTGAAGTATAATATAATGTATGAACAATAAAATTATATAATAAATAATAGTATTTATTGTAAATAAATTAAAAACCAGTGAAAATCTGTGAGATTTAGATAAGCTTTTAACCAATGATTCATTGAATATAATTAAATTGAATGCATTCTCTATTTGCTAACGAATGCATAAATTCGTTATAATTAGACATAAATCTCATTGAATCTGACAAACGATTTGGTACTAAATATATATAGAGATTATTAGGGAAACAACACTTCACACATACCTTCCTATACTTAATATTGTATGGGTTTTCATATAAAAAGCATTTAGAATACATATGAAAAGTTGTGAATTAAGATTAATTGATTATAAAATAAGTCATTTTTGTTTTGTAATACTTTGAGAGGCAAAATAAAAATTTAATTAGTTGAGAGATTAAGCAATTATAATTAAAATTAATAAATGGAAAAATTTACTATAAATTTGCCTAAAAACTCACAACTGTTAAGAAAATTCTGGTATATTTTTAGTTATCATAAAAATATTACAGATAGAGTTTATATAAGACACAAATCAAAGCAAAATAAGTCTAACGTTATAAGAATATTCTCTATATGTATGTATATTAGAGTTAATGCATACTCTGCTGCTGTCATCGATAATAATCTATAGACCGAGAGATACAGGAGTTTGTGATTTACTTAAGCATAAATTCGTTATAATTAGACATAAATCTCATTGAATCTGACAAACGATTTGGTACTAAATATATATAGAGATTATTAGGGAAACAACACTTCACACATACCTTCCTATACTTAATATTGTATGGGTTTTCATATAAAAAGCATTTAGAATACATATGAAAAGTTGTGAATTAAGATTAATTGATTATAAAATAAGTCATTTTTGTTGTGTAATACTTTGAGAGGCGAAATAAAAATTTAATTATTTGAGAGATTAAGCAATTATAATTAAAATTAATAAATGAAAAAATTTACTATAAATTGCCTAAAAACTCACAACTGTTAAGAAAATTCTGGTATATTTTAGTTATCATAAAAATATTACAGATAGAGTTTATATAAGACAAAAATCACAGCAAAATAAGTCTAACGTTATAAGAATATTCTCTATATGTATGTATATTAGAGTTAATGCATACTCTGCTGCTGTCATCGATAATAATCTATAGACCGAGAGATACAGGAGTTTGTGATTTACTTATAAGTTATAACTTCTGCTTTAATTTCCATCAATTAATAGATCCTTTTATTTTCTCACATTCGCTGACTTCGGGTCTCCGGAAAAACAAAGAGACAACAAAAAAACTGATGGAATGGTATTGTCGTCAAAGAGCACTCGTATTCACGCCTTTATTATCTTATCAATCGGTATCTGTATAGACGTCATGCGCGCCACAAGAATCCCATTTACGACAGATATCTTTGAGAGTTTGGTCTCAAACAAAGTTGTTATCGCAACTAAAAATGCATGAGTTCTTCATCTGATTTGCCAAAACAGGCGTACAATGAGAGTGAAAGGAGAGAAAATTTCAGTGCAATTGATGGGCAAAAAAGTTTTATGGTCTCAAACAAAGTTGTTATCGCAACTAAAAATGCATGAGTTCTTCATCTGATTTGCCAAAACAGGCGTACAATGAGAGTGAAAGGAGAGAAAATTTCAGTGCAATTGATGGGCAAAAAAGTTTTTCCCTATTCTCTCACTCTCTATCATCATTCAATTATTTCCTGTTGAATGTAATGCTTAACTATCATTGATTTGCAATACAATCGCTAATGCTTTTGAAATAAAGTTAAAATGCTTTTTCTCATATAAAGACTAACTCTGATTAACTCTTCATCGGATTGTTTCGACAAAAACTTATTAATTTCTAAAATTATTGTTAAATTCAATACAAAATTAATTTTTAAAAATGAGTCAAATTAATAATTCAAACTATAGTACAATGCCTTCAATAATGCGGTGTCGGCTCCGAAAAACGGGAACCAATGGGTTTGGATTCAGTGCCAAACAGCGTCTATCGGCACCGACCCTATCGGTGGGCGAAGTGACCCGTAATGGAGAGGCCGAGCGGTCAGGACTGATACGACCGGGAGATATAATACTCAAAATTAACGACACAGACGTTTCCCAATGCGCTTACGAAGAGGCGGTCCGCGTGTTGGCCGCCGCGCAACGAGAGCCCGGCCTCACGTCGTTTGTCATACGGGCGCCAATCGGTTACACCACACGACTCGAGACCACATTCTCGGCCGACGGGACGCCCAGAACGTTGAGAATTACCGAAAAAATAATCCTAAAATCGATGAACAATGAAAAATGTGAAACATCTGTCGACTCGCAGTCACAGCACCAGAAGATTAGCGCAAATAATTATAATGAAAACATGTATTCAAAGCGCGGCAGCGCTGGCAATAAAGAAGCGCTCAATCTATTAAACTCTAATTTCAATGCAAGTGTCGGTGCCCTCAATGTTGCCGAACAGCCGCAGCGTAACAATTGCCCAAACGATACTAAGTATGTATACTTTTTTTAACCATATTATAAAAACATTATTGTTTTAACACTGAAAAAACAATACATCAAAAAATAGTTGTTCCCAATAATAACATTTACCATTTAATTCCAATTCGTTTTGTTCTCCCATCCGTTCTCTCTTCTATGAGAAAAATCTGTTTATCTACCTGTATATATACATTGAATATAAATCGAGAGATTTATTCTCTCTCTCTCTCTCTCTCTCTCTCT